TAGCTTTGCATGTACTACACCCAACAGCACGATGTCTTTATTTCTTTCTTAATTCATCTTAAATAAGTTTTAACATTAATTTAGTTTGAATCATTTTAATTGATGTTTTTATTTCTTAAGCCTATTATTACATTATGTGTTTAATCTTCTTGTTTATGTAAAGCACTTTGAATTGCCATTGTGTTGATTTAATTCTTAGTTCATTTAATTAAAGGGTGTATTGTTGATTGTGCAGAATGTTTACCGGGTGACAGGTGTGCGTTTGTAGAGTATTTTACAACACCTTAAAGAGACAGTTCAGCTAATACTGCAAATTAGCTCTCATCCTTATGACTAGTTTACAGTTAATTTAATTAATAATAATTAAATTAAAAATTAAATTATAATTAATTTATTAATAATATAATAGTATAATTACTGTTTTACATTACTGTAAGGATTTGGTTTAGGAATGAGGCAGATGTTAATAAATTACATTTTAATATTTATTAATATAACAGTAAATCTCGTTATAGTGAGAGTTTTTACATTTCTGTCAGGTTTTGGGTAACGTTAATAAACTACAACGGGTAAATGAACACATGAGAGGCATAATACTCAGCATAACTACTGTTTTTAAAATACTGTGATAGTTTATAGTTGTCACAGAGTTAGAGGTTAATAAAGTGCAATTAGTGCACAATTTAATAAATAACATAGTTGTTAACTTCCGCCTGCAGCTGTATCCCTTCTAGCAACACCCGTGGCACGCGCGCACGCGGCCTGTCGAGCACGCGCTCAGTCAGTCACTCACCCTCCGATACCAATGATGAACTTCATCCTCGACGTGATTTTGCGTCAAAGTAGAGAAAAATTGGCTGAAAACAGCAGTAGCGGATCGATGACCGTACGAAGGAAAGCTGAAAAGAGAAGGTTAAAGGAAACGTCAACTACTCGATTCCTCCATGACGCTGAATGAAATCTGGACGATGGCGCTGCTTCGCGATCTTCCACCAAGAGAAACTCGTGTGCTGAGAGCGCGCAGACACTACCGGCTGCCCTCCGCTGATTGGCTATATAAACACAGCAGGCCAAGCGGAGCTCGCGCTCGGCCAATCACAGAGCCGAATCCTCATCCCGCGGAAGCTCCGCCCCGTGTGGGCGACACATGTGGGCCGTCAGTGGTTTTTCTGTATTGTGTGATTGTGTGTGTGTGTGTGTCATTAAACAGCGGAATTTAACACACACACCGCTAAACTGACAGCACTACACACTGCAGGACTGTTCCCTTCTGCTGGAGAAATGTTTTTGTGTATTTAAAGGTCGATCTCTGCCTAACAGGAGGCTGTTTTCTGACATGTTACTGTTCGGTGTGTGTTGTTTCACTAAAGTGTCGCTCGTGTGTGTTCTCTGGTGTGTTTTGAGAGATGCTGAGATGAGTGTGAGAGAGGAATAACAACTGAGTCTGAGTCGTGGAGGACGTGATGATGATGATGATGGTGGTGGAGTTCTGGGATTTTCCATACAGGATACCACGCATGTTCATCCACATTCCACACACACACACACACACACACACACACACACACACACACACACACTGAGGCGCACATATCTCACCCCCATACACATAATCTAACACACACATAAATACTCTTTCTCTCTGTCACATACACATATAAAGAGAGACACACTTTCATTCTCGAACACACATAGACTTTCTCTCTTTTACACACACACACATATATATATATATAGAGAGAGAGAGAGAGAGACTTTTACTCTCTCACACACATACTGTACACTAACCAACTCACACACACACACACACATTTTCTCTCTGTCACACACACACAAATATATATAGAGACTTTCATTCTCAAACACACACACACACACAAATATATATATATATATATATATATAAAGAGAGAGAGAGAGAGACACTTTCACTCTCACACACATACTGTACACTCTCTCACTCTCACACATACTCTCTCTCGGTCACATACACACACACACACACACACATATATATATATATATATATACACACACACACTTAGAAAGAGAGAGTTAGTTATAAAAATAAAAAATCGAAACATCAGTGATGCGCTTGTAAACACACACACACACATCTAGATTATTATAATTGAATCATTGTACATATACTGATTATTATTGTTTTTATTACTGTTTTAACCTAAAATGTTGGTTGTGAAATGTACAGTTTATTCTGAAATATTATTTGTATGAATAATATGATATATTAAATAATAATGTGATATATTGGATAATATTATGATATATTGAATTTTAATATGATATATTGGATAATAATATGATATATTATTTATATTTTATTAAATTATTATGTATAAAAATCAGTTTTTTACCACTATGATTTACTGTGTTTTTTATTATATTAGTATGTTACTATTTATGTAAACTTTATTAATGCTTTGGCAATACATTTGTAACATTTTGTCCTGCCAATAAAGCAGTTACTGAACTGAATTGAGTTAGTTATTGTAGTTTTATATTTGTCAAGCTTTGCCAGTATTGTATCATTTACAGTCATGCCAATAAAGCAAGTTTGAATTTAACTGTGGGCATCACGGTGGCTCAGTGGTGTCGCACTGTGGCCTCACAGCAAGAAGGTCACTGGTTCGAGTCTCGGCTGGGTCAGTTGGTGTTTCTGTGTGGAGTTTGCATGTTCTCCCCGTGTTGGTGTGGGTTTCCTCCGGGTGCTCCGGTTTCCCCCACAGTCCAAACACATGCGCTATAGGGGAACTGATCAACTACACTGACCGTAGTGTATGAGTGTGTGTGTGTGTGTAAATGAGTGTGTATGGGTGTTTTCCATTACTGGGGTGCAGCTGGAATGGCATCTGCTGTGTAAAGCATATGCTGGAATAGTTGGTGGTTCATTCCACTGTGGTAACCCCTAATAAATAAAGGGACTGATCTGAAGGAAAATGAATGAATTAAATTAAATTAAGAAACACACACACACACACACATACACACTCTTTCTCTCTGACGGTTTACAGGTTTACTTTATGAAACTGTTCTTTCTTTCATTCTGTCTGATTTAGAATCATTTAGAACAATGCAGACATGAACATAACTCACCTGTAATACCTGTGTCATAACCCTGACGTTATACACATTTGTGTGCTGATATGTCACATAAGCATGTTCTCTCTGTCGCTTTCTCTCACACACACAGACACACAGACACACACACACACACACACACACACACACACACACACACACACACACACACACACACAC